GGGCGCCCTCTGCTGCCAGCCGGGTGCTCTGCAGGCCGCAGGCTGGGGACTCCCAGGTGCTGCAGGGAGCGAGTATCAAAACCGTGACTTTCTTTATATCAAAGGAAGGGATGAGAGAGGGACAAGGAGAGAGAGAGGAGAGAGAGAGAGAGAGAGAGAGAGAGAGAGAGAGAGAGAGAGAGAGAGAGGAGAATCACGGACCGGCTGCCTCCTGCACGCCCCCCGCGGGGATCCTGTGCTCTGACCGGGAATCAACCGGCGACCAATCGGTGCAGGGATGACGCCCAACCCCCTGCACCGCACCGGCCGGGGCCTGATTCTGGCTTTTGAACGTCGGTTCCAACGTGGTCAGAACCCAGGCAGGGCTATGGATCGAGGAAATCCCACTGCAGACTCAGAAAGTGTAGGGCAGCGGTTCTCAACCTTCCTCACGCCGCGACCCTTTCGTACAGTTCCTCATGTTGTGGGGACCCCCAACCATGACATTATTTCCGTGGCTACTCCATCACTGTCATGTTGCTACTGTTATGAATCGTCATGGAAATATCTGATATGCAGGATGTATTTTCATTGTTACACATTGAACATCATTAAAGCATAGTGATGAATCACAAAAACAATAGGTAATTATAGATGTGTTTTCCGATGGTCTTAGGCGACCCCTGTGAAAGGGTCGTTTGACCCCCAAAGGGGTCGCGACCCACAGGTTGAGAACCGCTGGTGTAGAGGGAGATGGCTCAGAGCCTGGGGAGGGCGCCCCCTATTGGTCAGCGTTAGGGCACCTGTCAAAGTGGCCTAAGTCAGTGGCCCGCAAACTCATTAGTCAACAGAGCCAAATATCAACAGTACAACGATTGAAATCTCTTTTGAGAGCCAAATTTTTTAAACTTAAACTATATAGGTAGGTACATTGTTATTAACTTAATTAGGGTACTCCTAAGGCTTAGGAAGAGCCGCACTCAAGGGGCCAAAGAGCCCCATGTGGCTCGCGAGCCACAGTTTGCCGACCACAGGCCTAAGTCAAAGCCAGTGGCCGAGTCAGGGCCCAAATCCCTCCCACCGGCATCTGCCGGGAACGGCAGGCATTCGGGCGGGTCCTGAAGGCGCAGGAGCGGCTGACGGCTGAGACGGGACCCAGAAGCTTGTGACGACAACAACTAACAAACAATCGAAGATGTTCTCAAAGAACCTGAAGTCATCAACTCGCCCTGACACAGAGTAACGGCCACAGGTGAGTGACTTCCTTAGAACAATTTATTCGTGGATATGCAGTAAAATGGCTCCCCAAATACCTCGCCAGAGGTGACAGGGCAGGAAGCACATGGTATTTTTGGTGGTGGTTTTGTTGTGTGTTTCTTGTTGATGTTTCGGGACTCGGAGTTTTTTTAAATGTAAACACAAAATACCTCCAGAAATAGTAGCAGGTGACAAGCGAACCTGTGTGTGTATTTTTTAAAAAATCTGATTTCAAATCGGTGCAGGAGGGTTAGACGTACAAATGTGTTATCTGAAAAATGCCGTATCTACATAGAAACCAAAAAGCATTTCCGCAGCTTTCACTATAAAAACACAGATTCAGTCAGGACTCCCGGTCCAGGAAGAATGACTCGAAGCCGATGCAGCAGGAATCGCCGTGAAGGGTGAGGCCCGGCCGGCTGCAGGTGGGGGCGAGGGGGGCCGTGGGGAGAGGCCGTCGCGCGCCGCTCCTGCACGGGTGCACGTAACCGCACGGACACACGGGTGCCCCCGAGGGACAGCGACACGGGCATGATCCCCGGTTCCACCTCCTCCAGGCTGCCCCCCAGGCACGACCAGCAAGGAAGGAAAACGCCCACACACAGACCCGAGTCGCAGCTCAGCAGGCAGACGGATACGCTGTGCCGGAGGGGGCCCGTCACCGTGTAAGGAAGGAGCAGCTCCCAATGTCGTTTGGAATCAAGGCGTCTGTTTAGGTTTTCAAACCCAACCACGTGAAGGCGCCGCCCGGTGCTCACACCCCCGGGGACAGAAGGGAGAAGGGGACGGTTCTCGGGGATCCTTCATTCAAATGTCGAGTCGCTGCCTCACGGTGTCCACTCCCTAGTAAGTCTTCACCCGTGTTCCACGTCGGAAGCACAGCATCGTCACAGAAACATTCGTGAGCAATGAGAACGCTTACCGATCAGAGACGCCTGTATGAACTCTCAAAGGTCAGGCGGACGGGAGGCGCTCACAGGAACACAGACAACGGTTTTCGTGTGAAGGAACCACTGACGTCTAGGGATAAAGGCCTTGCGTGTAGAAAGGAGCGAGTCGCGGCTGTAACTTCAGACTTGGTCATGTCAGCAGGGCACAGGCCTCGCTGGGCACGCCTCGCGCTGCCGTGGCTGAGTCGCTGTGGGTGGCGGGGGGGTGGCGGGCGGAGGAGG